GGGGGGGGGGGGGCTCGGTCCGCTCGGAGCTTTGTCGATGGCCCTCTTATCTTATCTGCTCTCTCGACGCTGTCCATGTGCTTGTGCTGTATCAAAATTGTCTAGTTTCATGGAATACTATTTAGGACAACGAGTCTACAGAACCTCACCAATAACCATGGCACCAGACGAAGTAAGGGGATTCGAGCCCGAAAAGCGAGGACCCTTGTCATTTTTTGCGGTTGATGGATTATGTCCTGTGTAGCCTGGAAGATTGTGCCTGTGATAAAGGCGCAAGTTTGACCTCATGGGCCGAGCAGCTGCGCCATCGGCCTGTTCCTTTACCGTAGGGTCGCGTAACGAGCAAGGTATGTGGCCACTATATCCAGGTATGTGATACGTTGCTTTTGCCGTTCCCTCACAAAGGTCCATTGTCGTCGACGCCATCCCAGTTTTCGCTACAAACGGTCTATCAGTTGGGGCTTCTCCAGCCATGCCAAGGTCCATCTGATAACTCGATTTGATCTGCCGGGCGACAACCGAATTCAAACTGGCTTTTGACAGCCACTCGGGCGGCGATGCTTTCGCCCCTAGCTTTGCGCTGTCAATGGCATCAACGCAATATGACTGTCGACTCAGGGTAACTCCCATGCATGGCTTACTCGGCGGTGCCATCGTGGAGAATATAGCGCTGACGCCGCGTCGATCTGGTACGCGGTAGTTACCCAGAGAAAGTCCATTCGACATCAACGCAGATATCGTCGAATCGCGCATCTCCGTAGGAATACTGTCGGAAATTTCTTCACCCGCGTTACAAAATTTTGTCTTTCTCGAATCAAGTGTTTCGCCTGGTTTGAGCACCGGTGGTGGTCTCATGCTAAAACCTTGAAACCCTTGGTATCCGGTGTTACCGCTAGCATGTTGGACCATCGTAGCGCGCCAGCGCCTGCTTGGCGGTTATTTCGTAACGCTATTGGTTGATTAAGGATATCTCTGTAGAATTTATTCGACTCGTCTTGTGGACGAGGTGCTTGCCCTGCTCCTGGTGAGACTTATCCGTTCCACCACCTCGAGGGGGCGGCGTTCTGGACCGTGTTCCCGAGTCCTCATGGCCCGAACGCCATCTCGAACATCAGATTCTTGAGACCTGAAGAGCCAATGGGGGCGGGCGCGTCGGGCCAATGGTCAGAAACAGAATATGAAAAATACAAATTAGAATCGTCGAAACGAGAATTAAAACAGGCCTTTCTCTACCAGCGCGCCGCAGGCATGGACGGCGAAGCACTCTTCGATCACATGGCCCATCTCACGGAGCGCACATTAGCGCCGAGAACATCGACGGGGTCGACGCGTCGGAAGTTCAACTACCCTGCTAGCCACTCTCTTGTTAATAACGTGGAGATCTTTACACATCGGATATCCTCTGGGGAGCTAGCACCCACAACTGGGGGCACCTGTAGCCCCCATTGGGTCGAGAACGGTGACTCAAGGCTATCCGCGTCTCTTGTTAGAGTTGATTCCATGAGCCTTCGCAATCGTCATCGTCCACTGCGACGAGCGGCCATGAATGATATGATAAAGCTTCAAGAAAACAAGCTATCAATAATTTAGGCAGCTAGGGGTAAAAAGATCGCCCGGTATTAACCCCCGCCACGTGGTTTTTAGTTGAAATTGACCAATGTCGCCACAATTTTGGACAAATCGGCTCCTCTCTGTCTCAAAATTTGCACTTACTGCAGAAACGGTCTCAGTTCCTCATGTCCCGTGGCCTCAATCGCCGCTGGCTGGGTGTGGCCTGGCGTGGAGATGTTGAAAATGTCCAGTATTCGCCCACTTCTGTCCAGGGAGCCCGTGGGACCCGCGGGGTGGCGTGGGATATCCGCACCTTCCCCTTCTTTCCTTCTTCTTTCAAAAAAAGTTTTGCACAAACTGCCGGCGGTCTACCCGGTGCACATGCTTGGCCTATTCCAACCTGGCTCCCTTGCGTCTAGCGGGCTCAACAAGTAAAGAGCGACCAATGCAAAGAACCTAAGTCCCCGCTCTGTGCCACACACACCTTGAAGGTGAAGTAGAATGACCGTAGTGTAGGTGGTAGGAAGTTAGGATAGTTTTGAGCCCTAGTTTAGACTCTTCGTCTAGTACGATACCGCTCCCCTTGAGTGTTGCTCCTTGTCCTACCTGACTTTGTTCCTATGCCAGCCTTGGCTGGTACTAAAAAATGGGATCTATTTGAGTAGGGTACTAGTCCCGGGGGGAGCACGGCCGTGTAGCGGCCGTACCACGTACGTCGGTGAAGGGTCTGTTCGGAGCCCCGGAAGGGGCGACGACTCCTGCGGACGCGCCTGGGAGGCGCGTCCGCAGGAGCTTTTTTCGACCGCGCAGGGCTCCTAGATCACGAGGTACTAGTCTCAATCACCATCATCCCCATCATTTACATTACCTTAAGAGCAACGTCACTAAAAATAGATATGTATGCGACGTAGCTAGGTGGGTAAGGTAGAGTAGGATACGCAGGCCACCAGCACAGCGCAGGCAGCTACTTTGCTAAGGGGCGATAGGCCTGGCAAGTAAAGACCATGCCTCTCTCTCCTTCGAAGGTAAGCCTGGTGGGGATCTGGCTGGACGAGGGTAAGCTAGTTGTCCCCGCCGGGGGGGCGGTCTTCACATGCCAGGCGACAGGCCAGGGTTGGGACTATATGTTTCTTACTGTCCATCGTGCTGTCGAAGCGCAGGCAGAAATGGGCGTGCGCGCAGCGCACTCAAGTAAGCCCGGGTGCCATGGAGGCAGGTGCTTATATTGTCAACACCCCTGCGCCTGCACTGCCCTTGGTTTGTTCGTCGCGTCGCGTCGAATCAGGCCTCCCCTTCATAAGGAAGAGGCCGCGGTAGCCAAACAGAGTCGAAACTGGGCTCTGGAGATTGCTTTCCGCCGGCGTCGGCTCAGCAGCCTCCCAAAGAATCACCCAGAAGGTAACTTGCCGTAAAGCTGAAGTGAAATTGAACTAAGATGTGCCAAAACACCTCCTAGGCCTGGTTCGCCCCAAACGAGTTTCCTGGGCCTTGTCGGTCACTATCCCAGAAAGTAAACTCAGCGTCGATTTCCACTCTGCAGCCAAAGAAAACAGGCCCTAGGGGAATTGGCCATACTAGGAACTAGCAGCCGCTACCCGCACCATGATAGTTCTATGTGCCGCTCTTGAGAATGATGGGAAGTTGGCGATGCTCGACTCGCAACACTCCAACCCGCAGTTCCTTCCCGGGGCGTGTTGGGACTTTTTCTTAAGTCGCCGATGGAGTGCGAGAGTAAATCTACTGCGCTTTCCAGAAGAAAGTTCGAGAGTCACCGTTGGTTCAGGGTTCGACTGCGTGGTACCGAAGTCATTTTCTATGACGCGGGCGCCCACTTGCAGCGCCAGGAACCCGTAAAAAACCGCGATTGCAAAGGGGTCTCGGAAAAAGAGCAAGGCGGAAGATATCAGAGAGGTGTCGGGAAGCCATGCTCTCGCGCCTTGTCCGATAAATGGCAGCGGATAGGAACTCGCTTCGAGGCCTATGATAAAGCAGCTTTTGCATGAGCAAACCAAAGTGTGATGCATAGTTTCCACAGTCACAAAAGTAAACCTTGATGACACCGGTCACTAGCCAAGGTCTTGCACGCATGCCGCAAGATTGAAATCCTTGACAAGGGACTGAATCATCGTGCGTCTCATCGTATCGCACCGAGCCTCCAAATATAGCAAACCTTCCGAGAGGCCCACATTGAGTGCCTTTATCGGAGCTCTTTTGCCCCTCTGCGTAGCTCCTGGTCGAAGTGCCGCAATAAACCTAGCATGCCTCGAAATATTGCTGGGCAATTATGAGACGCGGTTCAAGACGCATATCGTAACATATGGTTACTATGACGGGGAAAGTGAACGCGGTGATGCTTTTGTAGACTCTGCGCGTGTTGTTGGAGGTTCTTTGTGAGTCTGGACGTTCCTCCGATGTTGAGCCTCCCATTCATTGACTTGTACGTCTGTCCAAATAGAATGTGGCAATCGGTCAGCACTCTACATGTTCTGCGCGTTTGGCGTGCAGCCAGTATCTCGTAGCTAAAGTCTTGCTTGATTTTGTCGCTGTTGGCGGCTGTTCGGTTTCGGTGATATGTATTTCGACGGTGCGTGTATTTCTTCATGGCTTGATATACTGACACGCAATCGGAAGCGAGCTCATCGGTAACAAACCTTATGGTGCAGTCCTCAACAACGTAGGCAGAGTCGTGTTCTGAACGAGAGCGCAGCTCGCGGAAACCGACACCGCGGAGTTGCGTTGCAACTCTATTAGAGTGAGTGTAATGCGCTTCTGCAGTGGCAGTGTCTGGTTGCAAATCTGCGAGTTTCGCTGTCATCACGGTGAGGACACATTGCAATTCCATGCCTCCGGAGATACTGGTTTTGGTAACGCGTGGTAGATATGTGACACATCTTGGCGCCGTTGGGAGAACCGTCAAGACCCGCATCGCCAGAGAGTTGATTATGCTATTGTCTAAATGCATAGTCATTGCACATTCATAATCGCCCGGCTCCGGAACTTGAATATCAGTTCTGATTGTATCTGCATAGCCCCCCATGCATCGACGCGGAAAGTCCCGTGACCATCCACCGCCACCCACATGCAGAAGCATTCTCCATTTAGCACTGACCTTATTTCCAAATTTGTCCATCAGGCATGCCACGGGTGTATGCGTGTCATCATGAGACGCTTGAGAGGCTGGTCCTAGCTGTAGATGCCCAGGATGCCCTGGAACTACTGTGATGAGTTCTGAGTAGGTACAAGTGCACATCGCACCATTTGCTGAGCAGCTCACGGAAGGTACGAAGTCCACCCTTAGCCAGCACGATCCAGCGTGGCAAAAGTGAGGTGCTTTCAACTCCATGAAGATCGCCGACCCACGCTCCAATCGCCCGAGCGTCGTATTTAGCTCAACTGTGTCGGGGCCGACGACTGACAACCAAACATCACCTTGCAGTCGCGGGTCGAGAGTGCTTACCAGCAGATATTCCAATCTGTCCCCGGCAACCACAACCCGGCCGAGTTGGGGATGCAGACTCAATAACGTAGCCCTCATTGCAAAGGGCGTCATTCGAAATTGCCATGTTGGAACCGATACATGTAAGTGTGTATATTAAGGAATGATACAAGATATAGAATGATATAGTTGGATTAGGAGCTGGGTGTTGCCTTCAACATGGGCTCCACCCAGCTCGGGGACTAGCCTACTCTAGGACCCCCAGGAAAAGAATAGGGCC